ACCTATTTATACTTCTCTTGAGTCTCATACTTGAAAGTCAGATTTTCTATTCAGCTCTGGTCTTTTCATCAGGAATGCTTGAAAGTCCTCTAGTTCATTGAATATCATTTTTCCCCCTGAAGGATTATACTCAGTTTTACTGGGTAGGTGATTCTTGGTTGTAATCCTAGCTCTTTTGCCCTCTGGAATATCATATTCCAAGCCCTCCAATCCTTTAACATAGAAACTGCTAAATCTTGTGTTATCCTACCAATGGCTGCACAAGATTTTAATTTTTTCTTTTTGGCTGCTTGCGATATTTCCTCCTTGAGCTGGTTGCTCTGGAATTTGGCTATAATATTCCTGAGAGTTTTCATTTTGGGATCTCTTTCAGGAGATGATTGGTGGATTCTTTTCATTCCTATTTTACGCTCTGGTTCTAGAATATCAGGCAGTTTTCCTTGATAATTTCTTGAAAGATGGTGTCTAGGTTCTTTTTTTGATCATGGCTTTCAGATAGTTCAGTATTTTTAAAATTATCTCTCCTGGATCTGTTTTCCAGGTCACTTGTCTTTCAGTAAGATATTTCACATTTTCTTCCATTTTTTTCACTCTTTTGATTTTGTTTTATTGTTTCTTGATGTCTTCCACTTGCCTAATTCTAATATTTAAGGAATTATTTTCTTCAGTGAACTTTTGTACCTCCTTTTCCATTTGGCCAATTCTGCTTTTTAAATCGTTCTTTTCTTTATTGGATTTTTGTACCTCTTTTATCATTTGACATAGTCTATTTTTAAGGTGTTATTTTCTGCTTCCTTCACCAAGGCAGCATATACCCCCCAGAGAAGGAAAGAATATTTTTAAAATATTTACAGCAACACTTTTTGTGGTAACAAAGAACTGGAAGCAAAGTGGCTATCCATCAGCTGATTAATGGGTGGGCAAACTATGGTATATGAGTTTAATGAAATATAGCGTATAAGAAATGACCAGGAGAATTACTTGGGAAGACTTGCATAAACTGATGCAGAGTGAAATATAACTAAAAAATACAATATAACATAAATAAAATAAAACTAAAAAAATACACAGTGACCACAACAAGGTAAATGCAAAGAACAGCAACAACACAAGAAACTAAAAGATGTGTAATTATAAGGATAACATGGGAAAGGGGTAGGGTACAGTGAAGGATATTTTAGGGATGAGGGAGATTTGGGCATTTTAAAGGCAGCAAATAAAGATCTAGTAGAAAGGGGGGTAGCAGTTATGATCTCAGACAAAACATAAGCAAAAATAGACTAAAATTAAAAAGATAAGCAGGGAAACTAAATTTTGATAAAAGGTACCATAGACAATGGAGTAACGTCAAAAAACTTTACAGCTATTTTCTGATGAAGTCCTCATTTCTCAAATATGTAGGGAATGAAGTAAAATTTTCAAAAAATAAGAGCCATTCCCCATTTGATAAATGGTCAAAGGATATGAACAGGCAGTTTTCAGAAGAAGATATCAATATATCAATATCTATAGTCATATAAAAATGCTCTGAATCACTATTGATTAAAGAAATGCCAAGTAAGACAACTCTGAAGTACCACCTCATGCATATCAGAAATAACAAAAGCTAGAGGGGATGTGGGAAAACAGATACACTAATGAACTGTTGGTAGAGTTGTGAACCATTCTGGAGAATAATTTGGAACTATGCCCAAATTGCTGTAAAACTTTGCATACTCTTTGACCCAGCAATACTATTACAAGGTCTGTAATCCAAAGAGAGGGGCAGCTAACTCTTCCTGAGTTCAAATCTGGCCTCAGACACTTACTAGCTGTGAAACCCTGGACAAGTTGCATAACCCTTTTTGCTTCAGTTTCCTCATCTGTAAAATGAGCTGATGAGGGAAATTACTCCAATATCTTTGCCAAGAAAACCCCAGATGGGATCAGAAAGAGTCAGACACAACTGAAACGAATGAACACCAACAAAAAAAAACCCTAAGGAGATCAGAGAAAAAGGAAAAGAACCTATATGTACAAAAAATTTACAGCAGCTCTTTTTGTGATGACAAAGAATTGGAAATCAAGAAATGACCATCATTTGGGGACTGCCTGAACAAATAGTGGTGGAACAAATAAAGTGATGGAAACCTGTTGTGCTATAAGAAATAATGAGGGAGATGGTTTCAGAAAAACCTGGGAAGACCTATATAAACTGGTGCAAAGTGAAGTGAACAGAACCAGGAGATTATCGTACACAGTAACAGCAATATTGTAATGATGATCAGTTGTGAAAGACTTAGCTACTGTGATCAATGCAGTGATCCAAGTCGATATCAAAGGATGTGTGATGAAAATTGCTATCCACTTCCAGAGAGAGAACTGATGAACTGAGTGCAAGTTGAAGAATAATTTTCTCACTTTATTTTTCTTTCTTTTTTTGCAACATGGCTAATATGGAAATGTTGTTTTTCATGATTTCACATATATAAAGGGCATCATATTGCTTGCCTTCTCTGGGTTCAGCAGGGGCTGGAAGGAGGGAGAGAATTTGACTCAAAATATAAGGAAGTCAAAAAGATATAATACATTTAAAAAGGAAAGATCTAGTAAACAGGGAGACATTGAAAAATAGAAGAGGAGGAGAGTGACTGAAGAATCAGTCTGCCAGACAAGACAGGAGCACATGAGATACAAGTTACATATAGTGGGTTTGGCCTTAACAAAAAGAAAGGTTACTGTATCAGTGGGGAAAAGGAGAGAATGGAAAAATATATCAAAGGATTTTGAAACAAAGAGAAGAAGTTTTCTCAGCAAAGAGTGTGGCAACTCTCTGAAAAAGGTAGGTGGAGGGGTATATGAGAATTTTAAGGAGAAAAGAGATGTGAAATACTTCTGCAGATAGCAATATAGGAATTAAACTTGGGAGGAATAAAAGGACTGACGCTTCAGTAAGGTTATGGTTGAAATTAGATAATAGAAATTTGTAATGTCCATAGGGTAAAGTCATATTGGCAAATATAAATTATACAATTCATAAGTATTGAAGGGGGAAAGGCAGGAAGAGAATAAGTACTAAGCACCTGTTATGTGCTAAGCATTGTGTTAAGTGCTTTATAAATACTTCATTTGATTCCCACAAACAGCCCTGAGAGGTAGGTGTTATTTTAATCCCCATTTTTAAATCTTTTTTTTTTTTTGGCTAGGCAATGGGGTTAAGTGACTTGCCCAGAGTCACACAGCTAGTAAGTGTTATGTATCTGAGGCCAGATTTGAACTCAGGTCCTCCTGAATCCAGGGCCGGTGCTCTATCCGCTGCGCCACCTAGCTGTCCCAAATCCCCATTTTTAAGAAAACTGAGACAGACAGAAGTTAAATGACTTGCCAAGCTAGTACATGACCGAGGATGAATTAGAACTGGCTTCCTGATTCTGGGCCCAGCACTAATACTGTGCTACTTGGCTGACTCTAGGAGGCTGTGAAAATATAGGCACACTAATATAGCATTGTTGGAACTATGAATTTGTCAAACTGTCATGGGAAAAGAATTTGAAATTCTGTGAAAATGTAATTAAATTGTTCATAAACTTTTACCTAGTGATGCCACTGATTGGCATATACCCCAAGGAAGACAGTGACAACAAGAAATGGTCTCATATATCAAAACATTTATAGCACTTTTGTGGTAGCTAAAACATGGAAACAGAAGGAGTGCCCAATGGTCTGGTAGAAACTGTACAAACTGGAGTTATATGAATGTGATGGAATATTATTTCATCATAAAAAATTATGAATAGGAAGAATTCATAGAAATATGGAAGTACTTGTAAGAATTGATACTGAGGAGAATAATATATACAATGACTGCAATAATACATAAATGAATGCAACACAAAAAAGCAGCTGAAACCGGATAAATTGCACTGTGTTCAGTCTTGACCCCAAAGAGTAAACAAACACATTTCCCTCTTGTTGCCAGAGATGGGAGACTTAATTAGGGCTGTTGTATACCCTGTCAGATGTAGTCGCTTTTTAAACGTTTTCTTTGTCACAAGGAAGCACTGAATGATTGAGTAGTATATCAGGAAGTGAATGTGGTATAAAAATGCATTCATAATTTGTAAGAAAACTGGGGCATATATGGAAACTAAAGGAACAAACTCAAAACAAAAACTACAGTGAAACAATATATTCAGTCATTCTGCTGAATGGATTACATAGATAAATTTTTTTTTTACTAACTCCAAGACAATTTTTTTTAAAAAATTACCATTTTTTGAAGCACATAATACGAATTCTTAAACAAAAAGTTGTATTCTGGTATCTGGAGGCTTTCTTAAGACCACCAAACATCTTATTAGGTTACCAGTAATTATATTTTTTCCGTTTTCAATATTGATTACTTATTCTGTATTCTTTATAAAAATAATAATAATAATAATAATAATAATAGTTAACAATGCTTTCTGGTTTGCAAAACATTTTATATTTGCTGTCTCACAGCATCTCTGTGCGGTAGGTATTATCATCATCTACATTTTTCAGATAAGGAAACTGGGATGTAAAAAGAGGTTCAGGTGTTAAGAGAAATCCAGTGATTTGCCCAGAGTCACACAGCTATTAAGTGTCTTGAGACAAGTTTCAAACTCAGGTCTTCCTGACTTGTCCACTGCACCAATTAGTTGCCTCTCTTTTTCAGAGGATTTGAGGAAATAAAATGCGTCCTCTATAATCTTAAATCTTAAACAAAACTGTGTCAGAGAACAGGATTTTAATTTCTGGAACACAAGAAATGAATGCACTAAACAAGCTAGTACAAACACATTTGGTCAGTCTAGCAAATCTTACTGACTTACGTGAGAGTTATTTATAAAAATTGGTGAGTCCTATTACTACTAACCAAGTAAATGAGATTTCATGCAACTTGATAGTCCTATGTGATAATTGAATACAAAATATACTATAGGAAAAACGAAGTATATAAATGTTTGGTAAAAATATGTATGTGGTTTTATTTCTAGGGTACTGTGGATAAATTACACATCAGGAATTTGGGCATACCCACTTCTAGAAAACCTTATTAAAGTGGATTGGTGGTGTTTTTTACATCTTGTTACTTTGGAATAGTAAGCTTCTATTTTTTGGGCGCGTGGTTGACAAAGTTGATATGGGGTAAGTAATGCAGCACACTGTAAAAATCAGGTAAATATAGTAGAAAGCAAAGTTGTTCCTGGTGAATTTAGGACCATCTGCAAAGCTAATCCATATAAATTCTGGAAAAGTAAAATAATATGGCTCTTTGGGGAGACAGGGAGATCTGGACTGCTGGTCTACATACAGTGACAGTGTAAATGACTGTTTATAGTACTTTAATTAAAATGCCAAAATTAAAAAAAAAGCCTATTCCAGATAGACCATCTGATGTGCAAAAAAGGAATTATTCTTTATATTTTCACTATATTAAAATATCTTGGTCTACAAAGGAGACTTTATAAGTCGCATAAAAGAGGCACAGAAAATGCTATAAGAAGTCAGAAGAAGAAGAGATCACTTCAGGGGAGGGAAGGATGATCACGGGCAAACATTGTGGAAGAGGTAGCATTTGAATTGGTCTTTGAAAGGGATTATATTTACTTTGGATCCTAAAACATAAAACATAGACAACTTTTTCATTTTAACTGTGGTGATCTAAGCATTCCTTAATTCACACATAATTGCAGTGATGTTTTATTTTCTCAGAAGCTTTCCTAAATTGCGTAAATATTACTTTTAATTCTTGAAGAAAATTTGTTATTTCTACTGTAAAAAACATTTTATCACTCCTAATGTGCCTAGTTACCTAGAACGTATAATAATTTAGTACGTAAAAGCCTTTTTAGAAAGTTTAAACTTTTAAAAAATATTTTTGAAGAGTTGATAAATACTTGAATTTAGTCTAATGCTATATAAGTAGTTAAGAGTCTCTATTTTTCCTTGAACCAGTTAGTGTTAATATCAGTAGTGTGTTTAAAAATTTGTAAGTGACTGAATCAAGATTTTAAAAAATATTCAGTTTAATTCACTGAAAAATTTTGGCCACTTTCCATGTATAACCTTCACTTTACAAGCTACTGATGTTAATGCAGGAAAGAGTAAGACATGGCCCCAAACTCCAGGAGCTTATAATGAAATAGGAGAGATTAAACGCACACAGATAAATGTTGTACAAACTGGACTGTGATAGTTACATAGAAGATACAATGTCATGGGGAGATCATAAGAGAAACAGAGATCACTTCCAGTGGGGCATGATCAGAGAAAGCTTTATTAGGAGGTAGTATTTGAACTGGTCTTTGAAAGGTACAGTTTCTGTTGGTGAGCACCATGTTCCAGTTTTGGGGAGTGTGAGCAAAGCACAGAGAGAATAAGGTTTTCAGAAAACACTGAGAGTACTTTCTAAATGATTGGATGATTGATGAGGTAAGGACCACAAATGAGAGAGAAAAGTCAAATTTCAGAGCCTGGGTGACTGGACTGGGAGAATGCTGTTGTCATTTGCAAAAATGGCAAAGTTAGGAAGAAAAATAGGTTTGGGAATGAAGACAGTGAGTTTGGTTTTGTACCTCTTGAGATGTTGATGAGACATCCAGATTGAGTTATCTTGCTGGAATAATTATAAATATGGGACTTGAGCTCAGGAGAGATATTGGAGCTGAACTTGGGAGTCATTTTATCAGGGTGATATTTGAAGACACAGGAGTAGTTGAGATTATTAAGGAAAAGAATATTGAGAGAGTAAGAGCCTTGGTTTTGAGAAAAATCTCACTGATGCATAAAAAAAAATGTAACAAGAATACATGCATTGTGTTTAAAAAAGTAAATAAATCCTAATTTAGCACTACAAAACAATAGATTCAAGCCTCTTTGGAAATCATTAGAGAAAATAACCGAAGAATTCTCATTCCCGTTTGCTGTACTATACTCGTCTGTCCCACATCACTACTTCTTCCCAGTAATGCCTCAAAACATAATCAATTTGGTGATAATGAGGCTTATTACTAAGTGTGAAGTATCATAATGAGTTAATGAGCCTTTTGTTCTTAGAAGGTTGAGCTGAAGTTAGGAAAATTTCAGGAGTTTCATTGAAATATGCAGTTGACATAAATTTAGAAAAAGTATTACTAGGAAAGGTTTTGTATTTAGAAGTGAGTTATACTTTTAGTTTCTTTTAAAGGTAACATTGACATTTCTTCCAAAAATATCAAGAAAGAAAAAATTCAAATATTATTTTCATGTTTTACAGATTCAGAAAATCAAAGTAAGACAACTGAAAGAAGTAGGGAAGTAGAATACAAAAAGTTAAAGTGCAGTTATGAGTGTTGTACTTATTTATTGACATAAACTCATTTTACATGATTGTTTATGTTTAGATAGGCTGGAACAGTTATACCTCAACTTTCTCTTATTACGTACAATGGTTTAAATAGCTTATTAAATTTTAAATATTTAACTGTCAAAAACATTTTAATTTTAGAACACTTCAGAATCAGGACACAAAAATAAACACTGAATTTTTACTTTGAAGATATACATTAATCAGTGAAATTGTGTATATAATAGATTGAGATACAAATTTAATTATATAAATACAAGATGATACTATAGTGATATGTGATTACATAAGCCACATATGAAAATCAATTAATCGCTTTGTAAAAATATAACTTATGTGACAATTGGAACCTAAAATCATAGCAGAATATATTTATGTAATAGTATATTTGGCAAGACTTAGTTTAAAATGATAATTGTAAAAATTCAAAGAATGGTCACAAATGACCTTTAAATCTTCAAAATTTTTCCAGGCTTCATAAATTATTTTTAAATATTTGAGTAACTTATTTCCTTCTGTAATTCTATTACAAATTGGAAACACTTTATACCATCTCTGGACAATTAGTTGAGTCCCGGAATTTGACTTGAAAGATCTTTAGATGTTTCTTGGATTTACGGTTTTTTAAAAAATCTCTCTTAAAAATCTCCTGGAATTTTTTTAGTACTTTTATTTATTTTACTCAGTCCTGCTCTCTCTCAGGCTATTGACTTATTTCTCTTCTTTCTTCATTGCCTAGTTTTTCCCAGGGGTCTTCACCTGCTCAATTTCCCTACCACTTATTCACTCTTCTATTAGGCTTCTGCCCCATGCTTCTATTGAAACCACATTAAGAAATTACCAGTGCATCAAATCCAATATCTTTTGTCAGTCCTGAATCTCCTTTACTCTTCTGTAGCATAGAACTCTTTGTAGCATTTAATATTTATTGTTGATTGCCAACCTTCTCTTCCCCCCCCTTCTTGAAATTTTATCCTCCTTTGGATTTTGCAATACTAGTAATTTCACCAATTACTCTAACCACTATTTATCTGTATTCCTGGTTCCTCTCCCTTTTCTCACCCCCAAATATAACTTACTTCTTTGGCTTTGGGCTCTTCCTTTTCTGCAATCCCTTCCTAAAAGATCTTAACTATTCTTATTGTTCAAGGTATCCTTTTTTTGTAGGTGACCCTTAAATCTTTATCTTCAGCCTGGATCTGTCATCTTTACTGTAGTCTGGTTGCTGACACATGCACATGATTCAGAGTAAAGTGCTAATTTTATTTTGACAGATAAGTCTTTTCTTAAATTTAATAGATATCTAGAGCTGTAACTGAAATGTAAACACCTTTGCCTGGTAAGGAAATTACATATGAAATAATTGTATCTTTCTTTAGTTGTAGACATGATCATCTGTGTGTACCTGGAAATTCATGCATTACATTCACTTATCAAGTATTTATTGATAAGTATGAAAAAGTGCTGTAAAATGAGGGCAAATAGCATGTTGTACACTAAAGGGCTATCTATAAAGAGTATTGTATTTCTATGACTTCTCTTAAAGTGAACTGTTCTACCCTATCTCAAAACTGGAAGAAGTCATTAGATCATTGGAACATTCTTTTGCTTGAAGAAATGCCAAACTTAAAATACATAGAAAAATATTTCAGTCAAATGAATTTATCAGCAAGGGTTAATGTGACATTACATGTTGCAAAGCAGTAAAAAAAAAAAACCTCAAAAAATTATCTGTTTAGATAAATAAAAGTGCTGTTTCAGTCAATTCCAGTAAATTTCTTTTCAAAGTTACTCACATGGTTGATAAAATGGCATGTAGTTATTTAGACTCCTTTGTAGAGTAGCAAAAATATGTTTGCATCTGTGTTGTAAATTTATTTTTGTTTTTGGTGATTATTATAAAGTTATGATTTGATATTTTGCTTTTCATAAATAGTTTTGTCAGCACAAGAAAGAAATGTAGAAAAATGGTCCAATTAGTATTAGGAGAAAAGTAAATAAAGAACTTGTTGAACAACTTTACCCAAACCATGTTCGTTCTAATGGTGAGCACCTAGAGATGTTTCCTAGTGGTTTGTCATAGGGCCTGCTGGAGATTCACATTTCTGTAGCAATTTACGTGTTGGCAGAGTTCTTTCTTGTTCATCATTTTCATTAGGGACTTGGTTAAAGATGCTGATTGCATGTTAACTAAGTCTAAAATCTACACAAAGTTGGAAGGGTTAGGTAATACATTTGGATGACAGAGTAAGGGTCCAAAGAGATATCAACTGGCTGAAAATATGGGATGAATTTAACAAAGTGAAATTTAACAGAGGCAAATGTAAAATTCTGCACTTGGGTTCAAAAACTATACCAATGCAGGATAAGGAAGAAAGATCATGGCTTGACAATTGATGTGAAAAAAGGGTTAGGGGATGGAATTGACAGTAAGATCAACTCAAGTCAACAGTGTGATGTGGCCACCAAAAAAAACAACAAATGAATGCAATATTATACTGCATTAATAGAAGTATGAGCCAGAATAAGGGAGCTGATTATCCAACTGTATTCCTCTCTGAGTAGATCACATTGTACTTTGTTCAAGGCATTTTTTTTTTTAGGCAATTGGGGTTAAGTGACTTGCCCAGGGTCACACAGATAGTAAATGTCAAGTGTTTGGTCTGAGGCTGGATTTGAATTCAGGTCCTCGTGACTTCAGGGCCAGTGCTTTATCCACTGTGCCACCTAGCTGCCCCATGTTCAAGGCATATTTTAAGAAAGACATTGGCAAATTGCAGTGACTAGGCTAGTGAGGAAGGCTCAAAACAACAATACTATGTGAGGAATAAAAGAACTGAAGGTATATATTCTAAGGAAAGACAGACTTAAGGAAAATATGTTGTTTGTTGTTCAGTTGTTTTCAGTCATGTTCAACTCTTTGTGACCCTGTTTGAGGTTTTCTTGGTAAAGATACTGGAGTGGTTTGCCATTTCCTTCTCTAGCTCATTTTTCAGATGAGGAAACTGAGGCAAAATGGGGTTAAGTGACTTGCCTAGAGTCATGCAGGTAGTAAGTGTCTTTCCTGACTCCAGGCCTGGCACTCTATCCGCTGCGCAACCTAGTAGCACAAGGTAGAACATGGTAGCGGCTTTTAAATATGTGAAGGTTGTCATGTGAATGAGAGATTAGATTTATTCAATGTGGTTTCAGAAAACAGAAGTGGGGAAAATGCGTTAAAATTACAGGAAAATAGAGTTTGGCTTGGTATAAGAAAAAACTTTGTATAATTAGAGCTATCTGAAAATGGAATGGACTGCCTTCTGAGGTACTAAGTTCCTTCTCACTGGAACTATGAAAACAGAAGTATAAAGACCACTTGTCAAGGATGTTGAGGGTTTGGCTAAATGTACCATAAGGTTTGATGATTAAATGCATTGAGGTGAAGAATTAATTCACTTTCTAAATTAGAGGCAAATAAAATTATGAACTGTTTTTATCAGAGCTTTACACTGAGATCTGTGTATGAAGATAATAAAAATGTATATTCCAATTTATTTAAAGATACATATGATTTACTTGCATGATACTGAATTATATAACTGGCTTATATAAGTACATATATGAATAAGTCATACAAATGATATTACATTATGATTTTATATTGACCATTTAAAAGACTGTCACAGATGATTGGTAGTTCTTTGTTATAGCCATAATCAAAACTGCTGTGCATGTTGGGCAAAATTTTGTTTATCTGGAAAATCGCTTTGAAATAGTGTTGCCAATATTATGAGTCATGTAGCCTGTACACTTTATTTCAACAAGTGCCGTGAGTCACTTTAAAAGTGAAGTTATTATTCATAGGCAGAAAATCTTTTAAAGACAATTGTGTTGTACCTATTTGTAACATTTCAGTTCTCTAAAGAAAAAATATATATAATACATGTGTATTGTGTATTGTATATGTATATGTGTATATATAATATGTGCATAATATATATATGTGTAATTTGTAGTTTGGTATCTCTTTTTCAAGAAATATACTTAATATGTTGTAAATAAAGCAGATCCTACAGGGTTTTTAGGAGAGAGCCAGAATGAAATACTAGTATTATACATGTGGCATAAGTGTTCATTAAGAAACTCTGCTCTGCATTTGTTGTTGTTGCTAATTTTAAGGCATTCTGACAAGTTTTCTCATCTAAGAAAAAAAGGTAAGGAATTAACAAGAAAAAGACAGGGTCTAACATATCTCATCTCTGGCATACATTGGCTGTGTGACCCTGGACAAGTTACTTAACCTCTCAGTGCTCTAGACAACTCTTTAAGACTAAATTGAAGAGAAGATACTGACTTGAACTGGTGGAGGGAGTTTCCTCATCTAGGAGTTCCCTTAACAGTAGAATTACAGGCTTAGTCGCTATCTCTCTCCTAACATGATGGGACAAACGATTTGAGACTAAACCATAAAAAAAAATGCATTTTGGGCATAAAGTTCAGGATTAATTCTCTTTGTTGTATCTTGAAGCAAAATTTCTATTGAACTCTCTTAATGAGAGACTTTCTGGTATAAAGTATCCTGCAAGTAGCTTAATATACAAACCAGGTTGCTTGAGAGTTCCCAAAGCTAAATATCTATCCTTTCCTGGTGTGACAAATGGTAGGATATCAGAAATTATCTCAGTTTATTTGTAATTTGTTATTTACTTATCTTTATACTAAGACACAATCATTCAAATAGATAAAAGCATAACTTTAATTTGATCTCAATATTATTTTGTATATAGTAGCTAAGTGTATGTCTTGAGTGTATATTTTGAATTGAATCTATTATATAGTAAGTTGCTTGTATCTAATACTTACGTTTTATTACTTTTCTATAAATTATAGAATCTTCTATGCTTCATTTTATTTCATTATTTATGATATTATTAGGGTTACTGGTTCCTTTTCATCTTAGTTCCTATATCTATTCCAAGGTGATTTATTTCCTGTCTTTATGTGTTTGCCAATTCAACACCCCCAAACAAGAAAAAAGTTCTAGGAATGTTGAATATAATACTTTATAATATACTCTGATGCTTAGTTGTTGATGGGATATGTCATATGCAATTTAAACTCTATTTTTCTTTTATATGCTAATACAAAGAAATCATTTTAAAGACTAGAATTTAAAACCCTGTGAATGATCTAGTTATAAGAAAAATCTGAATACTTACCAAAAACCTATTTGGAAGAGGCTACTAAATAACATTAGAAAAATACAGAAACAAAACATATACTTGAAAACTATGTCAAATTAGACAGAATCCAATTTTTAAAAATAAATTCTTTACATTTTGGAATGTCACTAGTGATTAATGTCACCAGTGATTTGATCTTATGAATTTTATGATGATTCTCATCTGAAGCCCAAAGGAACCAGAAATTTAGGGAAAGAAATATATATAGAGAGAAAAGTACCTTACAGCAATTGCATAATAAATATTCCTTTGTTTGATGTAGATTTGTCAGTAATTAAGTAAATATGTATGTGTATACATATATATGCATATCTACATATGTGTGTATGGACACTTTTAATCTTTTTGGGGTTATCTTGGTCAGTACTACTGAAACTTGACATATCCAAAAAAACCCTTATCTCTTTCTTTCTCCCTCTCCCCTGTTAGTTTCACCTCATCAACTCAGCAAATAATTATTGTTCAACTCACCATTGATAGATCCAAAACAAAATATAAAGATGTAATTATCTTTATACCAAGACACAATCCTTAATTTCCAGCAAATATTCCTTACTGCCTTCTATATATCCTTTTCATTCCTGTGGCTCAGCTTAATGTTAAGCCATCTCCATCTTGGGTGATTCTTTATCCACATTTCTTCTCACCTTGAGCCCAGCTGAAATTCCACCTTATCTGTATAGGCTTTCCAGACTTAACTGGCCCCTACTAATTTATTTCTCCTCTTAATTTCCATTACCATTAGTATACAGTTTAAAGTTTCATTACAGTTTTCTTTAACGATTTCATTTGTGTTACTCTGGTCTCCTCAGCTGGATTATAAACTCCTCAAAGGCAAGGACCACATCTCAGAGCATTTTGTATACTCCACAGTATCAACTACAGGGCTAGGCAGGTAGTTGGAACACAGGAAATATTTCTTGATTTTCTGATGACATAAGTATGTCATGTTCTACAGCACATTTGTTGTTCTGCTGAAGAAGGGATGCATAATTAAAATGTTTGTTAATGAGATTATATTTTAAATGTACAAGTGGCACCTGCTATTGAATAGAATTCTGTAATCCTTTTTGTAAAGGAGATAATCACCCTAATTGATCTATTTTGTAAATCCAGGTGTTCATATTAGGTTTGTTTAAAGCAGCACCTATATTGTAGTATACTTCTGCAACTTTAGAATTATTTTCAAGCTAGAAATTATTGATAAAAGGTCAGATGTGGACAATTCATAAATTTTTCTCAATTATTCATTTTCATAAAATATTACATTTAGTACTTTTCATTAGGTAAGTAATTTTTACTGCTTACTGCAAAAGAAGTCACGTGTTTATCTGCTTTAAAAGTTCAGTATTCATTAATCCTTTGCACTGGATTTCTGTATGTGAAGGTTTATTAATTCAAAAAGCTAGTTAGGAAAAAAGGGGGGGAACAAGACTCTAACTCATTTCTATTGTATGCCAGGGAAACAGTTTATAGAGAGTCAGCATCCTAGACTTCCAGCAGGAGTGACAACATTTACCTTGAAGGTGGAATCAGTGAGCGCTTCTGAAAACTCAAAAAATTGAAAAGCTGAAGAAAATAATGCAGCCACTTGCAAACCAAGCAAATAAACATACTTTTAAAATTATCTTTCCACATTAGACAGAAGAAAATATATGTGTTGAACGTGCATATCATTTTCTCTTTGGATGGTGCTTCAACAAGGCATGGTCTCTGAAATGGCCAGGTTACCAATATTAATAAATGTTCATCAGAAATCATTTGAAGAAAATTGTTATTCAAGTTTCTATGATTTGAGTAATTAATGAAAACAGTAAATGAAGAAATCAACCATTGCTTCATTTCTGAGATTGTAATGGTGAGTAAAATACCTTCTTTCCAATTTTTTGAGGTTTGAATCCATCATATTTTTTATTTGTCCCAAAAGTATCAGGTTGAACACTCTTCTTTTCCCTCCTTCTATCTCCTTTCTTTACAAATCTGTGCTGGAGTGGGTATCATAGTGGAAAGAGCATGGAATTTTTTAGTCACTTAACCAAAGTTTGACTAGTGGATATGCTACTTATGTGTGAGGGCAGCTCAATTTTTCTAGGTCTCAGTTTTTTCATCTGAAAAATGACAACATTCACCTAAATTATTTCTAAGATCCCTTTTATTGTTAAATTGCATGATACTTATAATCCAACACTTCAAGAATCTTTAGTATGGGTACTCCCTCCACTGACACTATAATTAGATAGATGGCCTTCATGAGTTTCTGTGGCTAAAAAATTCACCTTGCAGCCAAACTCTCTAAGCTTAGCTTGTGTTCCATTGGCACAGCCTTCAAGAATCTGAGTCACATTCACATGGCAATGTCATATTGGTATAAGACTTTGTTGGAGGTGTGATGGCTTAATGGAAGTTTAGATGAATCCAAAGGCAGGAGAAGATCTGAGGATATAAAGTGGAAAAAATAGGAATATGTCCCTTAGAAACCATTTTTGCTTCTTTCTTTTTCTCCTCTCTTCAAGCTATAAAATTAGTAAAATGGTTGGTTCCAAATGCCACATAGTGCTACACACATAATGGGTGGTCAGTAAAGATGTGCTAATTGATCATTTCACTAAATATCAGTTTTCATCTGGATATTTAAGATTTAATATTTACTTTAACAATGGTACTTCAGTAAAAGTTATATAAGCCAGAAATTTGAAAAAAAATCATATTTTGGGGACTGCAAGTAATTTTTATTACTGCTTTATTTATAGCGGATGTTAGTGATTAGTTAGGGAGATCAAGAGGATTCCAAAATAATTTTCAACTAATTGAAAAAGAGACTAGATCAAACAGTATTATGTCGTGTTGTTTTTTGTTTAAATAGAAAAAAAATGGGTAGTCCTTCTGGAACAGTTTAAAACTCAAAAATATTTCTTAAAGCATTTCTGATTCATGTTTTGTACTTTTGAAGTTAAGTAACATTTTTAATCTGTTGCTTTAGTGGGGATAAGATATTTAATTTGTTGTATATTATATTCAGAGTTCAAACTGATGCCTCTGACAGACTAAAGCCTGTAGTTTTTCTTGAATTGTCCAGGCATACAGAATTAATTTCCTAATGATGTGTTGCTTGACAAGAAAGCAAAGTTTCATTTAAGATGGTTTCTTTTTTTCCCTTTTTTTAGCTATTCTGAAGATAATTCTTTGCCTTATCAAGACAATATAAATTCTTATGTTACTTTGGAGACCCTGTTTCCTTTCATTACACAATAGCCACCTGTTTATAATAACTTTGCTTCAGTATTCTTTTGGAAGAAAGGGGATGATGCATTACACAACAATATTTATACAGTAATGTATATTATTGATTTATTCTTTTATAGTCATAATATTTCTTCCGAATTCCTATATCAGTTCCTATACTCCTACATTCTCATAAAATAAGTTTGATGGTTATTTTTGTTAAATTTGTAACTTTCTTGGTACAGTTACATTCTCTGTTGTTCCTTGACATACCCCTAATTATTTAAAAAAAAACTTTTGTCCTGAAATCTTATATCTCCACTTTATTTTCCTTTTGTAGAACACATCATTTGCATTCCTTTTATATATCAGTGCTACTGTGTGCAAATGAAACAGGATTCTTTTTCTTTTATGATTAACTTTATCCTCAGCTTTGTAGAAGTAAATTATTTAGATTGCATAAAATAAGACATAAATAGCTAATGAGGTCCTCCTGTTGTTCATTTATAGAGTTAAATGAAGAGGCAGCATGGCACAATGGATATAATGCTAGATTTAGAGTAAGGAAGATAGGGTTTCAAGTCCTGCCTCTGATACTTTCTAGCTATGTATCCCTAGGCAAGTCCCTTCCCTGAAATCTGTCTTCTTATCTATAACTTAAGGGTTGGACTAAATCTCCTCTAAGGTCCTTTCCAGCTCAGAATTTATGATCTGTGATCCTAAAAAACTATGCAGTTTACAGTACATGGATGAAATAAAAAAAATATACTTCTGTATATTTTTGTTATTTTAACTTTTAATTTCACATCAGTGTTTCAGATCAATAAAATAGGACATAAGCTAAAATGAATTAAGAAGATTAAGTGTGCCATATATATTCATCGTAGGGACCATTTGACTTGATTCTTTATCAAGTTTTATGAAAGCCACTAGAAAGATGTTCCCAAGAGAATTTGAGACTAATTGTATATTTCATTATTTTTACCATTTATTTTATTAAGACCATATATCTTTTCTTATTTTGAAAGAGCATGTTCAATTTCAGATAAAAAGAATAAATTTGAAAAGCATTCCATCTAGGATTCAAAATTTTAAGCTATTGACTTTGGTGTTTCTGTGTAGTATTAAAAAAACAATTTTTCATTTTTTATATTTTTCTTGAGTCAAGGGTCTGTTTTTAGACTTATAATCTAAATAATAATGAATCATTAAAACAAAATAGTAACCTTTCTTCTCATCATTAGGGTTTGGACTAGATGATTTCTGAGGTCTATTCCTGCCCTAACACTCTGGGATTCTAAAATGCATCTGTTTTATTGTTGAAAGTTGAAAAAAAAATGGTTTAGAATTTAAAATTACAAATATGTCCTAGCTATTTTACATTTATTAAATAAGAGTGTTATTAACTGGAAAAGTTTGGAATACAAACTTCCATCATTGATATTATTCAAATACTACTGCCATTATATAAAGTTTATATACTCATTCATCATAGTTATTACTGCCTAACTTTCTATGAATTCATACACACAAACATGAAAGACTTATCCAAATGGAAACCATGGTGTAGAGCCCCAAGTTCTGGGTTTACATGAACTGGAGTCAATCTTGGAAAACTTCCCACAAATCATTCTTTAATTCATGCCCCCACCAATAAATTTCTTCATACAAGAATAAGCTCAATGACACAAGAATTTAAATATAAGACATTTAATCAAAATAGAATGGCAAAGTAATAACAAGGAACTTCATCAATTATTAAAGGCTCTCAGAACCTTTTCCTTCCCAACTACCACCTCAACCGTTTCCTGAGTTTTATCTACTAATTTGTCTTCATGGCACATCAACTAAGTCATGACAAGGTGTTAAATTAGTGCCTGCGGATTTTGGTTACTTGGCATAGCACTACAGGCTGGGCAGTGCTGAGGTCTTGTAACCCAAAAGGAAGCCTCTTGCTACATCTAGCCCCACTATCATCATGGTGGTTCTATTTTACTTTCTAGTTGTTCCTACCCTTTTCAACCGACATATCTCAACCCCTTGAGATTCCTATCATCTTAAACCATGTGCTCTGGATTGCACCTATCAACCTAAAGTATGAGTGGAATTATATGATCATAATTTAGAACCCATATACAGGGAAATGTACTCCAAAAGAACAGAGGGGGACACTGATCTACTAAAGAAAAAGTATTGGGGTATCTGACTAATACCTTTATCTTTAACAATTATTTTTAAAACAATTGTATTGATCTTTGGTATTATTCAAATACTATTGTAAGTATGTATTTTTATAGAATCAATAGTTTCCTTGGTAAGGTTGAACCTAGGTAAGATTGATCCTACCATACATAACATAAAAGATTACTGATATTTTAGTGCTCATCAACGTAGATTATTCTAGTCCAGACATGTTACATAATTATAAACCACATACACATCCATTTGGGAAGTTAAATCTGACAGCTTTAGGAATGAATGCTTTAAAAAAATTAATGAGTAGAGCATGGCATCTAATAATACAGAAGATACACTTTTTACTGAAAACTCAGAATACATACATCTTTTGCCATACAACAGATGTGAGGAATTTAGCCTGAATTAGTTCAATGGATAAAGTATCTAAGTGTCTCCCTCTTCACTCTTTTCTGGTAATCGTATTATTATTAAATGTAAAATGGTAAGCATATTCAACTCTCTATTTTTAAAGCTTCTGGGTATATCACAGTACTTTTTATTGTATTTTGATTTTTAACATAATGCCTTTTGTCACTAAGTCTAACTCATTTTTATTATATTACATCATAGAACTTTCCCTTATAGATTTTTTTTTCTCTACAACATCATTTTGATGGAGTTTCAACATAGGTTTTGTTGTTCATTTTTTTAGTCATGTCCAACTCTTTGTGACCCCATTTGGGATTTTCTTGGCAAAGAAAGAGTGGTTTGTCATTTCTTTCTCCAGCTCATTTTACAGATGAGAAAATTGAGGCAAATAGGGTTAAGTGACTTGCCCAGGGTCATACTACTACTAAGTGTCTAAGGCCAGATTTGAACTCAGGAAGAGGAGTCTTCCTGACTCCAGGCCTGGCGCTCTACCCACTGTGCCACCTAGCAACCCAACGTAGGTAAGACTAGTAATTAATTCCCATCATTCCTGACCTTACATCTACAATGCCTCACTCCTTTTCCTTTCTCTTCCATATTTTCACCTTAGATCTCTCGATTCAGTCACCAGCATCAAACTGCAAACATTAAACACCCAGACAGATATACAAAACAACTTAAACAGATTATCTCCATGTTCAGCAGCCTATATTCATAAAGTTGCCAAATACTCAAAATAATTCTTTGGCTAACTACCAGCCTAGAAATATGTGAATGATGAAATTATCTAAAAGTTTCCATATTTGTAGTTTCTGTGTTACAGTACTATTAAGTGTATAACTAAATGATAGTACAGGGGGAAGATTATGACCTTGAATTCTTGAACTGGCTATGTTATTTAAGTACATTAAACAGT